TCTTCCGGTTAAGGATTTACCTTTAGTAAATCTGTGTGCATAATATTTTTAATTTATCAGCAATTTTAAAGTGTTTAATTGCCGCTAAGCCTGTTTTAATGGCGGCCAATTAATTTTACATTTGAAACAGGGAGACTGATGGTTTGTTGCCAATCTAGAGAGAAACTTAGTTTCGCAACAACAAAGATAACGCATTCATTTATTATTGCCATTAAATCATGCTTAATCCTTTCTGGAATTTTTTTCGAGGAAGGAAATAAGCGTTTAAGATTTACTTCGTAATTTTGAATACAGATATTTGAGTTTTTATGTATATTTTGCCTTGTCGCGAAGTGTGAGAACTGAATTAATTGAATGAGAAATACTCAATCGTCTGTGAAAAACTGCTTCTTTTTTGTTTTATTTGCTTAATTTCTTTTATACATAATTCTAGCTTTATTATAGTATTTGAATAGAACATGTGGCAACGATTAGATAATTCTTTAAATATATACATTTTGTGCATTCTGGAGTTATAATATGAATGAAAATATATCTGTTAAGTAAACCTACTGCCAGAGTGTCGCTATGGTAAACAAACTGAATTTTAAAGAATGCATTATTCTATTGTGGTTTATGCGCTGTCGGCGTTAGGTTTATTCAATCTAATAAGTTTAAATAAAATGCAAGAAAAAATGCGTATAATTTAATATTCCGTACAAGGAAGTCATGTGGTGTACACATCAGATTTTTAATATCTGAAAATGTTTCTTGGAATAATTAAGATCACTGAGAAAATTATCTTTTTTAGTTAAAAAAAAGTACCTGAAGTGCTTTACACAGAATAAAATAAACTTCTGATACAAATTTAAAACTCGGTCTACTTACGTAATGTGTGAATTTATTTTGCATTATTTTAGATGTCATATTGTATTAATAACTAATTATCGAAATAATCGACTGAAGTGAGATAGGAATAACTAACTACATTTTGCTGTTGTAATGTCTAGAATAGGGAATGCGTAAAAAATGTTGGTCAATTTAATTCAATTTGAAATTAAAACTAAAATTCTTATTTATGCGATTTGAAGAGTAAAATGCACAACTACTGTAGCATCAAGATAATGGCAGTAAATGCATATATATTCCAAGTTGCCTCGAAATCTGACAGCTTAGAAGTTTGGTTAAAAAACGAGTTTCCGGTTTCGAATGACAAATATATTGGGCATTTTGGATGGTGAATATTCTACTCAACAGATGGCACCACCACCGCGATGTTCCACTTTTACTTACAGCTCATCACAGGCGTCTAAAACGTCCGTAATATTAGATATCGTAAGCGTAATATCGTGAATAAGTCCTTTTTATGGTAAATAAAAACGTAACGCATACATATCTGAACTGTTCAAAACCACTGTGAGTGAGACTCTCTTTCTTACCTTAAGAGTTATAAGTGTACTTTTCTGTTAACAGGGCACCAGTCACCAAATGTGCGCCAAAGCACCAAATCTGGTAACCTGTTTATATTATGTCATGAAAAGCTAGGCAGTGTTTAATGTGCATAATGCCAAACCGTGCGCGATGCCGAATTTGTAAAACTCTATCATGTTTTTTTAACTAAAAACAGATCGCTGTGTACATGCGAAGAATAACAGTTCTCCGTAATATGAAAATATCGGATAGTTGCACAAAGTAGACATCAACAGCTTGGTCACTGGGCACATTTAACATTATATATAAGCATTCTGTTGGCATGGAGGTTTAAGGAAGGTATATTTTTCTTATTTTTCATAATTTTCTTTTCTCAATTTTAAAATATTTTTCGTTATTAACTTCGATCGCCCCAGCTGTTTATTGTATTAATTATCTTTTGGCGTAAATTTAAAATTCACAAAAGGTAAATTTTTCGAGTAATTGAGACAGCCCTTATATTAGGCTTTATATAATTCTACTGAACAATTTATTTTTCAAATTCGATTTAAAAATTGATTCATTAATTCTTGTTTTAGAATTTTTCGTTTTGATTTAATTTAGTTTGTATATTTGGTTTGTTTTTATTTTTTCAGGTTTTTTTTTTTTTTTTTTTTTTAACTGCTTTTGAGCATTGGTATATTGTGTATTAGTCTAATTTGAGTACGAATGCATGTAGGGAAAAGATCTGAACATTTGAAAACTATTAAAAATTAGTTTTAAATAGAAAATTTGGTACTAAAAAGCGGTTTTGAGTCTCAAATGATTCAGAGGAACAAAACATGTATTCGGAACTTATTAATCAACTTGGATTAAGGCTTTAAAACAGTTTTCCCTTCACAAGTTCTGTTTGAAGCAGAACAGAGAAGATAAGTATAAAAAAACTATTTTGTTTTGCTATGTATAATGTTCTGTAATTTTAAAAAAAAAATATCCTTTCTCATTTTAATTTGGTACTTAATTTGGTTTTTGAAAGTTTCATTAATTTGCGTTTATTCAGTTTGGTAACTTTTACTGGGAGAAGAAAGGCTAGACCTTCATATTGTAGGAACAGAATTTTATTCATTTTCGTTAAGATCTTTACTTTTTGTTTTATTTATATATGTATATATAATTTATTATCTGAAAAAGTATTTATATATCATATCCAAGGAAAAACAGTTCAATTAATGCTGTGAATTATTAGAAAAACTTTAGTATTTTTAAGTAGCTTTCCATGTCAGTATCCAGTAAAATTACCTAGCTAGTAAATTTTTTTTTAATCTGTTATAGTAAAAATTATTTAAAATCTGTAAAGAAAAATCTTTTGACCGTAAAAATTCAAAATCTGAAGTACTGAAAAATAGCTTTCGTTATTGATCGCAGATTAATTCATTTGTCAAGGGAAACAAACCAATCTACTATCAATTAACAATAACCAAATTAAGTGAGAGTGTTTCGTCTTTTTTCAAATAAGGATCAAATTAGTAATTTTCTAGAATTTATAAGTTAAGAACAATATTCAATTATTAGAAAGATAATTGTCAACTTAAGCCAAAAACAATGAGTAACAAATTCTTCTAATTTGAGGTATACTTTAAGTACTGAATTAGACTATATCCTTATTTTAGAAAACATATTCCCCGACACTCTCCAAGGATTGTAAAAATAATAAAAAAATATCGATATTTGTGCAAATTAAGATATATAAAAGAAGACATATACAGAAAAAAATATTGTTACGGGGTTCGTAAGGATTTGGAGTGAATAACGACGACACTTGATGAAGTATCGAAACACACTTTATTAGCCAGTATTGTCAGGACAGCTCCAAAACACGTTTTACAGTCGTCGATGAACTACTTAAAACACGCTGAAACGATCAGCGACACAGCCTTCAGGTTATCAGGCTATCACTGTGGAGACAACTTCCTGCAAAGTACCCGACTCTGCTTTCCGAAGTACAGCTCCCGACACGGCTTGGTCGTTCTCGGAGCTCCACGTACTCTCGAGACTCTCCACGCTACAACTCGCGATGCACTCGACGATACACTAGCACAGCTCCCAACTCTTCGGTTCAGTCGTTCCTGGAGCTCAACACGCTCTCTCGACGATGCACTAACCGCGATACACTAAGAGACTCCTTCGGTGCACTCGACGACCCACTCGGCACTCGCTTCCTGGCTGTCCACTCGATCGACTCCGCAGGGATTGACTCGCTAGATGAGTCACCATCTCGATACTGACTAACTCGCACTCTAGACGAGGCACACACACACACACTCACTGACTGCGGATCAGCTGGGTTTATATAGCTTTCGGCTCATGTTCGAGAACATTCTGGGCTAAACCGGCAAGAATTCGTTCCAGAGGGTTCTCCAACCGTCCATGGTATATTGCCAATTTTGTCGCCAAATGTGGCAAACCTGCCTTCCCTTGTCACTTTATGGCAACCCTAAAACTTCTTTGTGGGGAAGCCATCTCACCCCGCCTGTAAATTTCGTAGCAAAATAAATGAATATATTATTTTAAATTCAAGTTTTCTTTTATAATCAAAATCAAAAGTAAAAATAAAATTTATACATTCTTTAGTATTAAAACGTTAATTTCAAAATCAAAAGTAAAGTGAGTGTATTATTTAAGATTAAACATTCTTTCATAATCAAATCCATATAAATAAATATATATGGTTAAGTTACCGTGAAAGACCGAAATTGGAGAATGTCGACTTTCACCGGAGAATATCAACATTCACCAAATACGTCGGTGAAAGACCGAATATTTCACTACATGATTATATATTCGGACCCTCACCGGTGTATTTCGACAATCACAGATATGCTCTGGTGAAAGTCGAAAAGAGAGGTCATAAAGTGCCATAATAGTTTAAGTTGTTGCAATAAATAAGATTTGAATCACATAATTTATTAAGTGTTTTATTACTGTTATTTTATTTTCTCATTTAGAACGTACTGTATAATTAAGTAAGTTTTTAACTTCTTCTATTATTTTCCTTTCTCATTTTGAATGTATTGTGTGTTTTAGATTCTCATGTTCTTAAGTTCTTATTTCAAGTCTCAAGTGCGTTTATTCGAGACTGAATGACGGAGGAGAAAATATAATATCGTTATATGTTCAACATTCACCATTAGTACATGGTGAATGTCGACATTGACCGGTGTAAGTCAGAAATAAGAGTATTTGGGAAATATTTCGGACATATATCAAGGGGCTGTGTGAATGTTGACATCCACCGGTGAAAGTCGACATTCTCCAGATTTCGGTGTTTCACCGTAACATATATATAATGTGCGTGTAATATATTTCTGATATTAAAATTCAGTTTCTTCCCCCCCCCATGAAGCTTTAGATATTGTTAGGGGGCTATAGCCATCTAGTCAGATATCGCGCCAACGTTTTCGTTTGATGCTATGTGCCCCCCTTAAAAACTGTTCCGTTATATGAATATATAATTTCCATCTCATATAATAATTAAGGATTATAATACCTTCATATTGCGGATACCACATATTAATTTTCCTGCTGGGTTATTTAATTTCTTGTTGTTTCAGCTCTCGGCCTTTCTGGTACCCTTCAGCATCCAGCTGTGGGTGGCCATTTTCGGAGGCTTGACAGCCACTGCCATCGCTGCAGCCATCTACGAGTGGTTCAGTCCATTCGGTCTCAACCCATGGGGCAGGCAGAGGACAAAGAACTTCAGTTTGGCTTCAGCCCTGTGGGTAATGTGGTCATTGCTTTTTTCGCATCTCGTGGCCTTCAAGGCGCCCAAATCTTGGCCCAACAAAGTGCTTATCAACATATGGGGGTGCTTCAGCGTCATCTTCCTCGCCTCTTACACCGCCAACATCGCAGCTCTTTTCGCAGGACTCTTCTTCCATCTCAGGGTGGATGATTTTCACGACGCAAGTGTAAGTAATTAATAGCATACTAGAGAACTAACTGTACACATGAATTCTAAAATTAATTTTAATGTATAGGGTGTTTCTAAAGGAATATCGGGATTTTGTAGTATTTATTACATAAAACTTAAAATCATAATTAATACGTGAAATGAAAGAGCAACTCAAGCAGTTCTGTTTGCTGGTACGCGCATGCGCCAAAAAGCGCTTGTAGCAAAAATGGCGAATAGTAAACAGAAAGCTTTTTGTGTTCTTCAGTTTGCAAAGACTGAATCTGTAGTTACTGTGCAACGTGCATTCCGGATTAAGTTCAGATGTGATCCGAGAAGTGGTAATAGAGCATTCGTAGATGGTATCCTCAGTTTGAAAATACAGACTGCCTTTGCAAAGCGCACCAAGAGTATGTTGGCACCAAGAGGCACCAAGAGTTATGTTGGCACCAAGAGTATGTTGGCGCCAAGAGGCACCAAGAGTATGGGACGACCAAGAGTTAGTTGGACCAAAGGTTTTCGATTCGATCTGTCCCGTGTAACAAAAGGTTCTCACATTGAACACTTTGTAGGGTACAACTGTTTGAGTTACTCTTTCATTTCATGTAATAAGTATGATTTCAAGTTTTACGTAATAATTACTATAAAGCGTTAAAATCCCGGTATTCATTTAGAAACACCCTGTATTATGCAATTTAGAATTATATAGTACTCTGAAACAGAAAAAAGAAAAAATTGTATGTTTCAAGCGTGTGGTGAACATAAGCTCCTTTTTACCCTGATGGTGTCATATATAATCATACCTTTCGTAAACCGCATGCAAGCATACTCAGCTGGCTAAAGCCCCATCTACACGAGGAGACATATCTCCGATTAAGTATCCCTGCAAGTCTGAGGCGCCAGTGTCTGTCCGTTTACACAGGGAAACATATCTCTGACGCATAAGATACATATTTGTGGCACCTGCACCGGAGTCGTGATTATTGCGCATGGCGGGATACGTTGTCTCTGGCGTCATATTTAGAGGCAGCCAATGAAATTACATATGGAAACCACATGTCCGAAAAATTCATTTGTCAAATGCCAGTTACATCGGCCGTTAGGCCATTAAACTTCGTGCTTGCCAATAGCGCCGAAATCTACAAGAAACATTTGTCAGTGCTTCACGCTCGTCCAAATGTTCCGCCGTCATTGGCCATCCACTATTATGTAAAACACACAACGGCGAATCAGCTAGTCCAGTGCGAAGTAAATGATTCTGTAGACAGTCATGGTACGCAGCAATAGTTTGTCAACAATATGTAATAATGCCATTATCAATACTGCCTTAGACTTTTCCAGCTTGCAAATGCAGTGATGACCCTTGTTAGGCCATGTAATTTTCTATACATACAACAACAAATACAGAGGGTCGGACAAGCGGATGGGAGAATATCTCCGGAGGGCGCTTTTGGTCAGTGGGACCGTCCTCGGGATACATCGGGCGCTGGGTTTCGGCACCCCGTGCGGGACCCTCGTGTGGCCCTCAAGTTCGACTATAGACACAGGTGGACGTGGCGCTACACCAGTTAACCTTATGGTAAAGGGGTGGTGCTCACGTCCTCCGTCGCATGTCGCATGCCCCGTCAATAGTCTAAAAGATGCACCGCAACTGTTCGCGGGTGGTCAGGAACAAAAGCTGGGTTTGTTGAAAGAACACTCCAAGGCTTGCCCTGACAAGCCCGAGTGGCAAAATCTCTAAAAGTATTTTGATATGTTAGCGATGTCAGACGCTTAATAGAATGGAGGCTTGCACTCGTTTTTGGCTTTTGGAGAACCTTAGCCCTCTTGTTCGCAAGCATATAAGCCATAAATACCGCAGTGTGAAGGTATCCATTGAAAAGATATCTTGTGGGAAAGTTATTTTATGACTTCCTGACACTGTTGAACGCATATGTTTTTACATTCTTGGTAAGAGGAGATGGCCTGTATCGCTGAAGTCGAATCGGACAGTACAACAGCTTCCCTGAAGGAGCTCTGGGCTAATCTTTGGAATATGGTAACAGGTAGTTTGACGACATTTTGGTATGGCGATAAAGGTTACTAGCTAGGACTTTAGCAGTGTACATGGATAAAGTCAAGAGTGTGCGCAATGCCATTTTTGTGCAATTCTAGGATTTTTTTTAGTGAAAATAGGTCGACGTGTACATGGATGATACCGTGTATGTGCAATTCTTAAAAAAGCGGCAAGCAGTGGGCGATTCTGCACTTTCTCCCAATTTCGCACCTAATCTTCGTCATGATTAAGCAGTTTTGTTCCATAAAAGTTCCAGTATAAGCGTAATTCGGCTAGCAGATTGTCGGGAAAAAATGTTGAGTTAAAAAAAAAAAAAATGTCTTTACTTCGTGAAAACAAAATGGCGTCCGAAACAAAACTAGCAGGTTGCTGTAGCAGGTTGCTTGCCAAATTTTAGCCAAAAAATCGCCAAATTACCATAATCCAAAGATTAGCCGAGCTTTGTCTCAATGATAATTGTTGTAGAACCACATGAATGGCTTTCAGGGAAAAAAAAAAAAAAAAATAGCGTAAAATAAGTAGCGGCCACTACGGCTTACTGAAGAACATGTCGCATATTGTTTGGAATTGTTATTATTATTTATTTAACCCTTAAATGCATGTAGTTGCCATTTGACAACATGTATTTAGTCGTGTAAATCAAATCAAAACACAAATCTTAGGTTACTGCACAGTGTAACCAATTGGATAAATACTGTTTACGTATATAGTTTTGAAAGTTTCTGTGTGGTGTAACGGTCATTATTGTGAGTTGGTGTATAGGGTGTGGACATCATTTGTGTTCAAGAATTTTTGATTTTGTGTTTGTTGTTATTTTGATGTATTCAAAGTTTTAAAATTGTTTGAACGAGTTTATAAGGTATGTATTATTACAGAAAATTATTGAACATTTGCTTATCATATTTTTTTGCATAATGTAGCCATTTTATAACAATAATATTTTTTCCAAAAATTAGAATTAAAACTTGGTTTAAATTTTTTAAACTTTTTCCCTATTTTATTTGATATCAATTCTAATGTATTTTGGACTTTATGATGTTGCGTGGCCCCAACTGGTCAGCAACAGTAGTAGTGACTGCTATAAACTGCAAATTATACAAACTCGTAAGAAGGGTTTAAATCCCTTTTTATTTCACTTTCGAAATCACAGTTGCGTTCACTTGACGCTCACAAACTACGCCGACCCGGCGGTGTAACAAAATAGAAAAATGCAACTAAAAATAAGTGACAGGATGAATAAATAACGAAGTCACTACCTACGAGGCTCTATAATCGTAACTAACTTAACCGCGTTCTAAGATACAGCTGAGATTCAGCAAATTTTCTGATTAAGAAGTTGAAAGATTCAACGAACTGCCGAAATAGGCACACAGGCCGAAAAGCGCGGTTCTTAAATTTCTACCTAGCAACCTTCACGCTCGTGATTCAAGAAGCACACTTACAATCTCGTTTGTTTCCCTTCTATTTAAACTCAATTTACTTCTGCTGAAATTTGAATAGTCTGCGCGTTCTACTACGATTTACATACTCTGGCATTGGCAATTTTAGGGAAAAGTAAAGGCTTGACAGGAAAGATAGCTTAAACTTAAAATAAATGTTAGTTAAAATAAATATAAACCCTACAACTTAAATTTAAAAAAATAAATTAAAAATAAAACTTCATACATTGAAGGATTAACAAATTTAATTAATTTATGATGCAATATATCTTTCGGATCATAATTTATGACTGAGTTTTTTATATTTTTATAAAAGAATATTTTTTCATCTTCATACAAGTGATATAGTATTGTAAGCTATAGAACGAGGTATTTGCTTACCTCTTTTGTAAGTATTAACTAAATCAGGTGGAATATTTTTTCCTGTTTAAAGGCTTATATTCTTAAGTTCCTAGAAAAAAGACAAGCAAAAAAATCCTAATTTATTGTCTGTTTGTGTTTGATTATATTTCCAATTTTTTATTCTTAATAATTTTTCTCCTTTCGAGTTATTTAAGTCTAACTAGCACGATCGCTTGGCGCATTTACTAAGGCATTTAACTTTTTAGTAAACCAGTAGATTGTGAGTTAAAACACAGTTGAGCTATTTTCTGAGTTTTTGCACTGAAAATAAATGTTTTATTGTTCCTATAATTAAATTACTTAAATATTATTACTAGATTTTTACGTGATTTATAAAATTTGTTTTTTTCCTTTTTCATGTACTTAAAAAGATGTTTCTATAAAAGCTACTTATTAGTAATACGTATTGTACACTGGTATGCAAAAATTAAGGACGAAGTCGAAAAATTAGCATATCAGCTGAACGAAGAGGCAGAGCGGACAGAAAGACCAATCAGGAGATTAAGTAAGGTGATGTACGGTAGCACATGAGCAGATATGCAGGTAGACGTAATGGGGGAGTGTCTGAGTAGTATAAAGCATGTTGTCGGTGTAAGATCAGTATTTCTGGCAAAGAGATTGCACGCCGTATAGCAGTTAAAATCACACCGAGTTGCTGCCTCAGCGAGAAATGGCGAATAATCAATCTGTTAGACGACATCTGGATGCTTTTACCCGAGGTCGAATCATTGGGAAGTTGGAGGAAGGCCGCAGTGTGACAAATGTGGCTGCAGAGTTCGGAATTGCTCACAGCATCGTTTCACGACTGAAACACGACGACGGAATTGGAGAGACAATGAATGGGGACGAGTTCTCTTTACAGATGAGAGCAGATTCAGTCTGAGTAGCGATTCTCATCGCATACTCATCTGGAGAGAGCGGGGAAGCCGCAATCATCCCTCGAACATCATTGAAAGGGACAGGTATGGAAGTGGCGGGTGTTCTGTTTGGGGAGGCATCATGCTTGGTAGTCGTACAGACCTTCACATCTTCGACGCAGGTTCAGTCAACGGGACCCGTTATTTATTGTAACGAGATTTCTTCTTGCGTTCTTTTAGAGGCGCTATGGGTCCGCAGTTCCTT